TGTGGTATTCAACGATACAGGAATAATCTCAATGAAACTGTAGCTCGTAAACTACGAGTTTCGATCGAAGCCCTTTATATTTTCCGTCTGTCACACATTCGAACTATTCCTCACCATTTCTGAGTTCTTAATTCCATTCCTAGNGCACGAAAATGATCATTCTCTTAGGAGAAAATCTCCATTAATAACCGAATAATTTTTTTAAAGTTCAAATTTATGTGTTAAAAACTATGCAGTGGTTGAAGAAAGTGTTTTTTGTTTCAGATGTGTGCAGCAGGTGAATACAAAATGAATGGAGAAAACGGTTAGCTCAAGAAGTTTTAGTGTGGTATTCAACGATACAGGAATAATCTCAATGAAACTGTAGCTCGTAAACTACGAGTTTCGATCGAAGCCCTTTATATTTTCCGTCTGTCACACATTCGAACTATTCCTCACCATTTCTGAGTTCTTAATTCCATTCCTAGGCTATTTATCTTGTCACAAATATCTTGTCAAATCAAATGGTTTCCTTGTAGGTGAACAAAAACGAACACATAAACACATACTCAAANTTTTTCCTTTTTTACAAGGTAAATTCTTTTTTTTAATTGACAAGGTAAAAGGTAAAATGATTCCTTTACCAAAGTCGTTTCGAAATCTCATCTGATGTTATCAATATCTTCAATTGTTCCCGTTACATTTTATCAGTTATCAATTGATTATCTTTACCTGTTACATTGTGGTTGCAATCATGACACATCTCTGGCTTTAACTTACAAGTGACCACCTGTAAAAGGCATATTAGAGCTAATTGTTCACAACCAAATTGATAAGGCAGCTAATTGATAATACATTGATATCGTGCACGTTCAGAATGTTCACCTTCATTCGCAATATTCTCTCGAGAAGGAGTATGTTTTATCTGCGATGGATATTTCAATCTTTGATGTGTCTTCATTCACTGCTACAACCGTTGTGTTACTTCCGAATGCGAGAATTCCGTTCCATGTTCAAAAGGTAAGTGGTCCCTAGCGGGATGATAATTATCATTTACGGCAACAATAATCATAATGACGATAATAATAACAATAATAATAATAATAAAATAAGCAGGCTCATAATAATAATAAGACTAATCCCGATGATAACAATAACAAAAATTTCGTAGTGATCAATGAGCTTTCATCATGCCATTGATATCCTCGCATTATATTTCCAACTGAACAATCGAAAATCATCTATCTTGTCATCTCAACTGTCGCTATTCAAATAGAGTCCATCCATAATAAGTCATCGTGGGCGACTGTAGGATTTTATATAATATTTGTGTCCAGCATGCATCATCCTGGAGTACAGGGCTGCATCAATGAGACCAAATGATTGAAAGTATGGAGACCCGGTTTTGTAAAAAAAAGTCCCGCTGATATGTACCAGAGTACAATGTCTCCCTCTATGGTTAAGCTGAAACTTATTACTCTGCCCCATCGGCTGAACCAAGCTGCGATCTATGTGTTGATCGATTTGTGATATAGCCAACATTTATGACAATTTTATTCCTTTTGGGAAATTTTCGTAGAAAGAAGTTTTCAAAAAAAATTATCTGGCCTAACTTTCGAAGGGTTTTGGTCAGAAAAGCTCTTGTTGCATGGAAATGCGCATGAAGTTACTAGCTAAACGTTGCGCTTTCACGATTGCTTTCAATAAATTATCCGTGCCATATAAAGTCGCAAGATTCTGAAAATTTTGGTAAAACAATTGATGATTGGTCGGAAATTTCACGCAGATCTCATGTCACGGTTAATTGCAGTGTGATGTGCAAATTCTGTCGAAAAGAGGTCGCCTTCACGGAAAATCTCTTCTTGTCGATGTCAGAAACCGTCGTAAATCGTCGAAGCACACAGCCGTTGTTGCATCAGGCATCCAAGAAACGAGTCAATTCGCATATACCAGACGCATAAGTGACGCGATGTTCTGCGATCAAATCGAATGATCACCGTTATTTGAATCGTGTTACGCAAACAGAATGTCTTGACATACTTCCTGTGATCAATGGCTGTTAATCGTGTATGAGTCGAAGACTGTTCCGAATCTTGAATCTGATTCCTAAATAATGTCATTTTGTATTTTAACCGTAAGGTTGCATGCAAGTATGGGCCATCTCGTAGTGCGTTGAATGCAATCAACGTGGTACCCGTTTGGGCCATCTTGTAGTAGCGATCGGAAGCGGGAGCGATGATAAGATTGCATCGTGAAATTTTTTTGAAAATGTTTCACTTTCAAAAACTATTTTGATCAATATTGAGCTAATGTAAATA